TTTTTATTACATACGTACAATATATATATATATATATTCACATTTTAATATCAAATTCTACACGATAAAGAGATGATTTTTATTTGCAAATATTTATGTAATAAAAGAAAAAGAAAAAAAGAACGTTTTAATTATAAACGATTTTTTTTTTCGACAAAAATATGATCAAACGTATCGTATGATTATCGATCGAAATAAAATAACGATTAAATTGAATTCTGACGCACGAGTCGTAAAAGATAGTAAAAAGAAGGATAAAAATAAATAAATAATATATAATAAAATATAAATATTTTAATATATAAATAAAATAAATAAATAAATATATATATATAAGAATCATTCGCACGAGTAAAGTAAAGTTGCATCGAAAAAGGGCGGGAGGTTTTGAGTCAACAAATCGGCCAAGAGAACCGCATTCCCTGTGCTCGCGAGCCGTGCCCTGGTAAGGGCGAACGGAAAATAAAGAAACACACGTATATACAGAAGACTTACATACGCGGAGAGAGAAAAAGCAAAAAAAGATTGAGAAAATAAATAGAATAAAAAGAATAAAAAGAATAATAATAATAAGAAGAAAAAGGGCACGCGTTTGTATATATCCTCGGCGTCTTAACCGAGAGCCACTGGCTCAGCAATCAGACGCGATAAAGCAAAGAGAAGGAAACGGTGGCTACCACTTTTTACCTGCACGCGAAAGACGATGTACTCTTTCAACTCGTAAACCGTCAAGTACCGAGAGAGAAAGAGATAGAACATCGATTTTCTACCGTGAGCATGCGAAACGACACGATGAACGTGAGAGAAGGGCTAAAAGGGAAAGAACACTCTCTTTCTCTCTCTCTCTCTCTCTCTCTCTTTTTCTCTATGGAAAAGAAGAAAAAGAAGAAAAAGAAGAAGAAGAAGGAAAGGAGGATGAAGAGGAGGAGGAGGAAGAAAAAAGAAGAAGAAGAAGAAGAAGGGCAGTTGAACGCACGGTTGTAAGAAGAGATATAAAGTGGCGCACGAATTGAAATTCTTCACCGACTGTACTTTATGCCTCGAACGAAAATCGTGAGTCGCCTAAGTACGACGAGACTTCTCAAACTTCCCCACTTTTTTTTTTTGTATTTTTTTTTCTTTTTATATTTCTTTTCTTTCCTTTTCGAGTTTCTTTTTTCAAGAATAAGAAGAAGAAGAAGATGGAAAAGAAGATCGTCTTCGTTTCTCTATACTCAAAAGTATCTTCTTCTTTGAAGTAAACTACCACCTTTCGAACGACTTCATTTTATTAGTGAATTGGTATAATTCTCTTTTTAAGAAAACATGTATATATTTATTTATGTATATATGTACGAATCTTTCAACTTCTCGTTTACGAATGATCGTTCACGAAACTTTTTCACACACACACACACACAACATATATAGATACTGGCACAGGAGTATCTGTGTATTTATTGAAGTTCAATTTTTAATTAAGAAATTAATCGATCATTTATCGTATATTATTAATTATATATATGTATATTGGAAATGAGTATGCTGAAAACTCGTTTGATACTGTACCGACCGTTCCATCTAATTTTTTTACATAAGATTAGAAAATATTCAAGATGCGTCTTGAATTTTACATCGAAAATTTTATTATCATTCATTCGTTATACATAATACTCATTTACCATATACAATAATTTAACTTTCTTCGATATGATGAAAAATAAAAAAGAAATTTAAAACTATTATATTATAATAATACTAATATATATAATAATCAACGTATTGTGTGAAAAATACAATTGCAAAAATCTATTGTATATAATTCTAATATAAATAAATAAATANCAACGTATTGTGTGAAAAATACAATTGCAAAAATCTATTGTATATAATTCTAATATAAATAAATAAATAAATAAAAAAGAAAAATGTTACTTCGAAGCAACGAACGAATTAAAATTTGACATATAAGAAAATACGCTTATATATTAAATACACATTTTGTTGTTTGCACTTTCGATAAAGGAGAAACACCAAATGTAAGGGAAAAAAAAAAAAAGATTAAGATGATAATGGGTTCGGATGTCAAGGAGACAGACGTCTGCGTCTATGAGGACGAACGACGTCATGGGTTCCCATTGACGCCTACGTGGCGTCAAAAAGAAGCCCGTTGTAAGACGACTCGTAAACATTCGCACGCTTTTGGTCGTTTAGTAAAGTAGTATGTGTATATATATGTGTACATTCCAGAGAGACTTGCGATAGGATACGATATACCATTTCTCTCCACCACCCTTTTCTCTCCTTCCCTTTCATCATCACGAGTACGCGATAAGGACTCTCGCCAAGGATAAGAAGAACTTCGAACGTTTATGGTGACATCACTAATTATTATTTTCCTTCCTAGTATTCCAACCGTGTCAGTTAAATGTCTCATCCCACATAACCCTCGTCAAAAGTTATTCGAGAATTGTGAGACTTCTTAAGTCGAAGATAATATAAATCCTTGAATTAATTCACAATGGTTTTTTATTGTTTCTATTATAATAAAATAAAATTTAATAATTTATCGTATAAGGAGATTTCTTTTTTTTTTGATATTGGAAAAAATTAATTTATCTTTTGTATTAGTGTTTATTATATGTATTTTGTGTATATAATTTTTATAGTAATATATAATTATTTTTAACGAGGAATTTTTGTATATTTTTTGTTTAAAAGAAAGTTTTTTACGAATTTCGATTTGAAAAAAAAAAAACAAACAAATTTTATAACGAAAGGATAAAATTTGATCGCGTCAAGTAACGACTTGAAGAAAAGCATTGGATGAACTTCTAAGTATCTGCCGAACACCCGACGAGAATAAGATAATCTTAATGGAGCCACGTCCGGCCTAAGATTCTCTCTTATCTGACACGAAAAAAATGCACGAGAAAGGTTGAAAGTGAAAATAAAAAATGAGTACGTAAAAAGATGAATCCTATCTTTCGGTTTTCGTCAACCATTGATCAAAATGACAACCTTCCACAAATTATAACACAATTTTAATATTAACAAAATTATGAATATATTGAAAAGAACTTCAATATAAATATATATTTATTTATTTATATTAGAATTATATACAATAGATTTTTGCAATTGTATTTTTCACACAATACGTTGATTATTATATATATTAGTATTATTAT